AAAAGCATGGGTAGCAACTAGAAAGGATTGTCCAATACAGAGTTAGATGGAAAATGTTGGTGAGCGGCTATGCTCCTCGATGAGAGATAACAGGCGTAGGTAAGGACAGTTTGATAGAAAGTTTTTTAACCATTATTGATGAGAAGGTATGTAGTAGGTAAGTCGAATAAAAAGATTAATTACATTTTAAATGTCCATAAATAATTGGATATGTTTAATAATTTTTCAACAGCTATCAACAGCATATGCAAATAAACTTCACCTTCGTTGAATGTTTCACAATATCGTGAAATTATTGAACACAGAATAACTAAGCGTTGGTTACTAACTCTATAATTTAAGGATAATCTATTTAATACGTGATTTTAGTGTTCTAGATCTAATCCCAATAAAGCAAGTAACTTTCCTGAGACCATTTAAATAGTTGCGGAATTCTAATCAGTCATTTCTATCAAATGGTAAAATAAATATTGCCTACCGATAAAGAATAGTCCTTAAGATCTTTAACGAACAGTTTGTCATTTATTTTATGGACTACATATAATTTCAGGCAACCACTGAAAATCTGGAAGCACCAGGTATCTGTTTCGTTATATTTTCAGAATTCTAGGCAATGGGCACTTACTACAACATGAAGCGTCACAGTTGTAATCTTCGGACTTTGCGAGAATCTATCATCTTTTGAATAAACAATTGTAAATAATATGTTACATTTTAAAGTTTAGGTTCATCATCTGCGATCCACATATCACATGTAATGCGGTTGAACTTAACTGACCATGTTTTCCTACTTTAACTCCAAGAATATGCACTGAAGATTTTTTGTTTGCTTCCTGGATGGTTCGTGGGTTTGCACCAGGGAATAATCTTATGACGTTATGAAACATCTGACTAGTACTTATTCACTTTTACCAACTTTCTAGCTGATTCCAGTTCTCAAAGTAAACTACAAACTGAAAGGTTGTCACAAACCTTATGTTAAGTTTAGGAAGCCTCTCAAAAAAATATATTACTAACCAATATAATTATCTTATAGCTGGTATTAAAACTCGTGACTTAAACAGAAAAAATTAGAATACACAAGGGCCATTCCTGTAAGTTTTATATGTTTGGTTTGATAGTGCGAACTTTGTTGATATATTCGCCATCAGGTACTTGATGACATGATGTTTGAATATGTCGACAGATTGATAAATACGTATCAGATTTAGTTACTTAAATAATTCATTTTTTCAGTTTGAGTGACGTTGTAAACCGGACGTTTCTGTAATCTATGTTAATACTTAGATAGCTGAAATCGTAAAAGTGGCTATTAGTGGATTTGGGAAGGCTGAAATAAACTCCAAGTGAGGTAAATCAGGAGTCCTTTTAAGTTTAGATCTAGAGGTTTAGACATCTGGTAGCGCAGTAAGATAATTTTTTAGAAAATTATTTAGATTTTGGGGGCTGATGTATAAATACACTAGACTGTTCGGGAGCACTGGTCATGTTAATTTACAAAAAGAATGAAATCCTGTTGCGCTAACCACAGAGAGAAATTGTAGACTAGAATAGCGCCTAGGATCTTATGTTTTGTGATCACATAGGACGTAAATACAGTGTGAGAAAACTAGAAAAATTTAGGACCTAGGTATGGATTTTCAAATTAAACACTCACCCTACTACAGGCTAAAGAAAATCTGAATTTATGACCTAAATGTAGTATCACTGACTGAAATATACACTAAAAAATTAGCGGTATTGAAGAACACATTCGAGCACTATTCATCTAGCCATAGATTTCACGAAATCGTTCTCTGACTTGGCCATGTCAAGTATTGACTGTTAACATCCCTCAATTTCCCGAAATTTATAATCATTGTTTTCATAGGAAGGATTCTAAGCATGGTTTGTTCCATGTCTGATCTGTTTCCTATAACCTTGACTTAGAGAACTTGGATGGAATGCCTCTACTTTGTGAAAAAGCTGACAAGATCCAGATCCTGAAGTACTTGAATAATGGTACAATAATGTTCCGAGTGTGCCACTCTTCTTTCGAATGCATGACTTAACCGCAAGACTGACCTGAGTTAGCACATGGTCTTACTATGTAAATTGTAGTTTTCAGGCTTACTGATCACTTCACTTGTCTTGGAAGCTTAAAAGAGTTACGTAATCTCGATAAGTATATTACAATGTTTCTTAACATCTGTTTGAATTGCGCCTTCCATGCAAAGTGTGGGATACCAGTCTCACTATTAAGAATGATGGTTTAGTATCTATTACGTCGAAACTCTGAGTTGAGACCTATGAACGTGGGAGACAAATCTATGTTTAAAGTATATGAGCATAGCTTTTGCCGAAAAAATTTCTAGAGAATGATAGAATCGAGTGATTAACACTTAAGTTACATCTGCATAATAAGTTGAGACCGTTGAGTCATGTTCCACAACAAAGAGGTGCGTCGGATGACATAAGAGCTAAGAATAATTAAACCAAAACAAGACACTCGTTTATGATATAACTTGAAGCCGGTCTCAGCCAATAAAGAAAAACACTGATTTCCTGTTTGATGTACGCGAGATAAACTTTGTTCATTGTTGGAGACCTAAGATGTTATATTTCAAAGTTGGTAGCGATCGGGTAGTTGGATCTATCCTTAATCTTACCTAAAATATCGAGGATAATGATATCAAATATTTCCATGGTAACTGTACATTAGTTAAATCTAGATTCTTTCTTTAACTCAGAGACAGAAACACTAAAATTTAAATGACGTGTGTCAGAAAACGGCCAACACTTAAGTTAGTCCGTCAAAATACAAATGGAGAAGGGTAATTGACTGAGTTTTTGTCTGAAGTATGCAACAAATAATGTAATCTCTGTTTAAAATACGTGGATGACACAGTAAATTTGTTCATTATCCTTCAGAAAGTCTCAACAAATAGTTATTAGGCAAACCTGTCTTTTGTTTATCTTTTGATTTATATTCACCGCCTTACCTTATTCTTCTTGTATCAGTTGATAATATTATTCAGATTACTTCTGTTGCATAATATTCTGTCTTTAAGATCACTTTTAAAGGGAACTTATTATACTGCTGAACTTTAGAAGAACAATTAAGGTTATCATAACAAATGTGAAAATAAGCAGTTATCAATAAAACATTTCGTTTGTTGTTATTTAATAGCGGTAGACAGAACTTATTTTTATATCCTGTATTGGTTCGTACCTGAAGTGGGTGATGAAGTGAACTCATAAATATTATTAATACACACACTCACCGAGATTATAGAAAGCTTATCAAACTTTCTGTAACGTGAGCCTAATTAATATTGGTGGTATTTTTTTTAAAACATTCAAAAGGCAATTAAAAATAATCCAATAAAGCACTCCATGTTATTCTAAAGCTAAGAGACATGTGTACTGAAAAACGGATACAAAAGATCTAAACTTCAAACATGTACTGCTTAAAGTAACGTATTGTTCACTCTTAATCAGTATCTAACATGTACTAGTTACTACTTGAAATCGATTGTAAAATAACTAAATATATTGTTTACTTATGAATTCACTAACTGATTCCTTTCTCAATTTTGGTGGTTGTTAACATCTTAGTTATATTACTTTACAAGTGAGACAAGTATGAATGGTTAGCCCAGGTGATACAGTTCAAATTGACTTCAATATCACGAGGTACAGTCATTATTCTTCTGTCGAAAAGTGAGTTTTCTGATTAACCTAAGTAATGTTCGTACTAATGTGGAAGGCCATTATAAAATTGCATAAAACAAAAACGAATAATTATATGAAATGAAGCGTATCAACTTATTACTTAGATGAAGTCAAAGTGGCAATCGTATTTCATGTATATCAAAGCACAGTTCTGTGTTAATATGTATAAGACTTTTGACACCAAGGAACGATTTTAAGATTCAAGTTAGTTAAAAAACTAAATAGATAGGCTTGGGTTGCTGACATGGAATACAAATAATAGAAAATATTAACAAAGTCATCAGAAGACTGATAACTACTCAAAAAGCGTTGGGTTGAAAGACAGAAATAATTAAGTAGAAAAGAATGCAGTATAATGTACGATATTTTCATTAGAACATAGTTGATTTGACTTGCTTGTTTTCCACATTGAATAAAGTAACAGGGAAATTCTATATAACTTGGCCATTTATAAAACTTAGAGGTACTATATGTGAACCAGTATAGTGTAAATGTTTAAACTACAGAAGTTTTCATGTTTAACTCAATCATTTTGCATCCAACGTAAATTGAATTGAAGGATTTCGCTGAACAAACGTTTAACTGTGTGAAATTTAGATCCAGTAGCAAACATACAATCGTCTAATCCAATTCTCTGATTTGACAATGTAGACCAAACCAACTCATGCACCTTTTGATCAGCTCCGTTTCTTATCCGTCATGATGGGTGATTAGAAAGTTTAAAGTTATTTATAGAATAAAAGAACAATAAGCGTACAGCACTGGTAGAGGTGTATTCCAATCAATTCAGTCGTATGCTTTTAGTACTTGGCACATTATTGTCAGACGAGTACGATGAATCATACATCGAAATATCCTTCCTCAACAGGCCGGCATAAATAGTAGGTGGAATGAATCGATATCGAATACATAACTTATCAGACTTCAAATTTAGCATACACCTAGGATTAATACATAACAATCTAAATTAGTTAAATCTTATGGTTTTAACAGTATCTCCGTAGTAATTCCTGCAGTCTTATCTATGTTAAAAAATACACTCCTCAGTTTATAGTAATCGCTATTACTTGTAAGGCTTATAAAGTAAACTTCATATGTGGCGCACAACTCAACAGAACACTATAATTTGATAAAAAATATCTAACTATTGAATAACAGAAATTCCATTTAATTGCTCTCATTCTTGTATCAATCTGCGCTTTGAGCAAAAGGATGTTTTTAGTCATAACATATGATAGATGAATGTTTAATTTACCTTGATAAAGATCTATTCAAATCGTACCTACCTATACATCCACAAGAAATTGATGAAGATGATGATGCTTTAATACCAGGATTGCCTTCAACATTAATGTTGGATAGTTCATCAGTTTCAAATTCACCACAAAACATTCTTACTAGATAATTAAACATGAAAATATTTTAACCATTCCATAATACTGGCTTAAATGACTAGGATCACTGGTTTTCTTTAATTGAATATATTCGTCTAACTTGTAGATAAGTAACAATATACATGTAAACACATCTTTATTTCTTTGCATGAATTGTTTATTTAATATAGAGTTGCACATTGAATCGCGTGCACACCCACATATGGACACACAAAATAATTTAAACCAATGAAAATATCATTATTGATGCGATTAAATTAAATGCTGAGTCACTAATTTAAGTATATATTAAAACTGTTTGTTCTCTTTTGATATTCACTTTTAACAATTGTGTACATGTGTACTCATATTTTAAAGATTCGTTAACTTAACAAATGCAAGGGTATTTTGTGTGTTAGTTAGTAGTAATAATAACCATTATTAATATTACTATTATTAAAAAAAATTCGTGATGATCAACTTACGGACAGAATGATCAAATAGACATATTGATAACACATTTTGTCAAATATCTAGATCATTGAACAATATAGGCAAACAGGTCTTATTTGTGTAAAATAATATTTTTTTCCATACGTTCAAACAAGTTCAAACTGATCTGTAAACAGAGTAATGATATTTAAATGGGGGAAAAATGTGATTCGTTTTTTTCCGTCGAAAATTCACTTATTCCTAATGCGTTTGATAATCCCAGCTATCCAGTTAATTAGAGCTTAAATATTGTATTAAAAGTTAATTGAATAGATTGAAATATACTTCATCATAACAGGATAAAGAAGGAATGAATAGAGCGGAGAAATTTCTTTTCAATTAGTTTTTTATCACAGCTCTACACTAGTATATATAAATATGATCTACAACAATGAAATAATACTCATCGAGTGGATACGTTACGGAATAATTATGTAATAACACATCGATTATAAATTATCATTGAGTAATTGAAAAAAAGAGGATTAATAATGATCAAAGTAATTATTCGAAAATCAAGCAGTTGCTACGTTACATAATATATAAAAGCGAGAAGGGGCTAATAAAATATTTCGATGAATGGTCAGTACGATAGTATTTATGTAAGAATCAAGAGACGAATGTTGAGAATAGATAAAATACAAAAAAATGGAAAGGATACGAAAATAATTTATCGAAATTCTGCTACAAACTCTTCTATATCGATGGCCAAGGTAGCGAGAGTGGTTGTACAAACTTCTTTTGGCTGCAAAGGTTAAGTTTTTGAACATGGATTGCAAATAGCTTCAGCAATGTGCAAAAAACACTCGAAAACCATTTGATGGAATATGGTGGATAACCTTTAAAGCTTTGTTCAGTTCAACTTGATGACCTGTGTCAACCAAGTGAATGAGAACAGAACTCTTAATCACTGTTTCATGTCCTTTGCTCAGCCACGATGGATGGTGTTCTGTTATACGATGACGAACTTGCCGAATCGCGCGTCTTATATAACTGGCTCTACAGGAGCAACTGAATCGTTAAATACACATGGATGTAGCGAATTCAAGCAATCTGTCTATATTAGATGTCTTTATAGATGTAACTAAATGGGTCTTTTTAACAGTTTTTCTAATAACTCTATATAGTATTACACAATTCGTGTTTCAGAAATACTTAAATGTTTATTTTGTTACTTTTTTTGGTTGATGGTAATTAAAAGAATATAACATTAGTTTACATAACAAACCATTGATTTTAGAAATGATAATAATCTAATTAGCTCATAACAGTTATTTACTGATTAGATGGCATATATATTTTCATTTTATCAAAAAAATCTTAATTATACGAAGTATACCATACATTGACGAATTAAAATTCACAAGTAACAAAGAATTTTTTCCCTGAAATAATATAATGTTTAAATGTGAAAAACTATTGCACTATGATATTAAGACTACGAACCGATTTAAGTTAGACAACCATTTAAACTTGGAAGCATTGAACAGTCGTTTCGTCGTAGTACGAGACTCCTCGGTCGTGTGCATACATTCTCCCGTTGTTGGGACCCAGAAATCTAAGGTAACTGAGCGTGGATCCAATTATGCAGAAGTCTAATAATCTCCTAAACCCTATTCAGGTCATTATTGGTTATTTTACTTAGATTCATGATTTCAATAAAACACAATAAATTTCACAATCTCATACAGATGATTTCATTATGGTTGTTTGAAATTATTTTTCTTTAATTAGGGTAAATGATTAAAACCATAAAGTAAGTGTAATTTTATTATTGAAGTAAAGGAATATTTGAAAATGAAAAACAAAAAAAACCAATTCCACGAGCTTTTCAGATGATTCTTCAATGAAACATGATTGATAATAATTTTCACGTCTTTGTGTATAATTCATAAAAGTGATGGAAACCATTTTAAATAAAGTTTGTGAAATGTTTTGACAGTTCTGCTTCATATCATCATAGAGTCTATCAAAGACAATGAATAAAGTGAGAAAAAACATGACGCAAGTGTTACATTCTAGGTAGTTTCTTTTACATTGATTTTATGATAAACCTTTTATTATATTAGGTAATTATTCTTCACTTTTTAAATCTATTGCGTATTTAACACTGGGTAATATAATGCTTACTAGTAAATTGTTTTCACAAATATTAGTTCTCTATAAGTCACTCTCACACAATACAGTCTTCCACTAAACATTTGATAGAATGGTAATTGCACTAATATTTTTCTCTCTCACCCTACTTGACCTATATTTATTCTGATCATGGATCTTAAAATCTCACTAAACATATACGCAGATTCAAGTTAACATTCTATATGAGTCATATCAACATTAACAATTTTATTGTATCTTGTTTATCACAATCCTAAATTCACATGCTTTAAACGATGTACTTTACCCTTAACCTGGCCATTTTTTGGACTATTAATTTGGATATATAATTGTAGAACCTGAAGAGAATTTATCGAAAAGAATATTCTTCGTTCAAATACTGATCTTTTAAGAAGAAAAATATTTATCAAATGCAATGATATTTATTGGATATTGATGCAATTTCTCTCTTCCTATTAAATAGCTTAATTTACAGATAATTTAATTTATTAACCTGTAAAAAAATTATCACCCAGATGACAATAATGTTGGACTTTATCAGAATGATTTAGTAGACAAATATCAACTAGTAAATGTATGAAAGAAATAGGACCAATGGATAATATAATCAATTAACTGAATAAATAATTAATTTGGCACAAAATACCAAATACCGAAAAAACATAGCACAATACCCTTAATAGAAAATTAATTGAAGATAATATAACTCCATTCTAATCAATCAATAACTTACTAATCGAGACATGTATACTTATCAGTGTATGCTTTAAATATTACCTTCAACGATATTCATTTATTTTTAATAAATTGATGTCTAATTTCTATTGTTTACGCACAGTAAATTTTGATATGAAGCCTGAAAAATTAATCTTAATTCATGAGTATATTAATGTTTCAAAGTTAATTATACATGTATGGAATGATTTAACATTAAATTCTAATATATACATTCTATTTCATTGATGACAAATTAGTTAATAATTTATGTGTATTTCAGTCCTACCTGTTTCATTGTAACGTCAACACGATATACATCACTAGAATGCCCGTTAAAAGCATGTCAAATTACATTCGCCTAATACCATATACAATTAAGTGTAGTTTTTGACACTTTATTCATATTTCTGTATAGATAAGTACTTTTCTTGCAAATCCATTTGGAGGTTTTTCAATAAAATAGAATAATATATTAATCAATTTCTTCTTGAATCATCAATCGTAATAAGAACAAATGCAATATTCACAGAAAATATCTTTCGAAAATAAGTTACAAAGCATGATCCGTACTTCGTTAATTATTATACAAGGTTGTTTGATTGTAATATTTTATGGGTAAATACGTGCTTATTCGGATAACCTTTTATTCTGACCTAAAAACAACTAATCACATGATTCAGAAAAGCTTAATATACACAATACTACAAAGATAGTTTGTATACCTATATTTCATTTTAACAGTTGAATTCATGAGTCGATCTAAGCCATGGAAAACCTGGAAGCACTGGACAGCTGTTTGGTCTTAGTACGGGAATCCTCAGAATTGCGCAGCCACGATCCCGCACGCAGGGCTCGAACCCAAGAACTTCGGTCTCACACGCCAAAACAACCTCCAGACCACTGAGTCTTCATCCAAAGGTGTTTTTGTCTAAATTCAATCGATCCACGACCTTGCATAACCCTCCATCCATTGTGACGAATCCCTGTCTCCACCCAACACGGATTAGACCCTACTGGTCACGGTTTCTCACTAGAATTCTGGGAAATCCATCTTGAAGCCAGTCACTATTGAGCACAAGATGGTTATTATCAGAATGGGGGTTTGTGATGATTGCAGTAATTTTAATATTTGAACTCATATTTTATTTGTCAAATGTGCGTTAGGATGTCATTGGTCAATTTTCACTCAATCGGGGTAATAAATGTACTATACCCGAGGGTATATTATATTGTATCGAGTTAAATTATAACTTATGTAGTACAATCATTATTTGATAGCGGCGTACAAATTTTCCATCACCATGACAAATGACGTGCCTATTAAAAATTTAATTACAAAGCACACCATGTAACGACAAAATTCGCTTAATATTGTTAAATGTTAACTGGAATATAATTAATACCTTATGTATACGTGTTAAATAATTGGAAGTATTTTCTTTGATATGCAAAAGTTGTAATTAATTGATAGAAATCCCTACACATATATCAATTATCGGTAAGATGTATTTGCCAGTCTCAAGAATTTGAAATACTCGAGAAGTTATATGTTCACAACGCTTAATTAATCAATCACTAACCATTGACACTGAAATGTTCTCCTTGTAGGTTAAACCTGTGTGAATAGAATTTTTCTAAACAATTTCTCATTTAACAGAATATGAATTTTTATCCTGATAAGTAGGAAGTGCTAACAGAAATTATAACTGGAAAGACTAGAATATCACTCACACAATCTGATCAAGTGCATTAGCAACTTTTACTAACATTATTGATCACCTCAACAATAATTTATTCATCAACATGAATTGCAATGGAAATATTAACGTTAT